TTTTCCACTCCATTACTCTACTTAACTAGCTGTAAATTCTTTTAAGAAATGCTTCCCTTCTCTGCTTTCCGTCTGTGGGTCTCCTGCCAGTGGCTGCCCCACAGTAGACGGCTCCTTCCAGCTCACTGGCTTCAATTGTGTCACTGGTTTGTCCCCAGTGCACAGGGAGGTGGGTTGCTTTTTTTAACCGTGTGCATTCCTTCCCCGAACATCTCCATTCTACTCTTACTCAACAGCTTTTCTTTTAACAAAGGAAACGGATGGCGCGTAGTCTATCGTGAGGCAGGGGGAACTCAGAAAAATATTATTTTTCTGTTTCATCTTGGGCAATTCTGTAGTGTCTGTATCTTTGTTCTTCATTTCTAAAACGAAGACAGCAATAGAACTTAGTTTATGGTGCTATTTTCAGGGTAAAATTAAAGATACACGTCAACACACGTGAGTAGCCGGCACCCCGCGTGCTCAAGGAATCACTACTCTGCTATTGGAGAAGTGTGACGTGCTAATGCCATACAGAGTGTCACCTCTCTGCAGGCAGGATAACCCGCTATGATGAAAGAAAACATTGCTGAGATCTGAATAACACTCCTGGGCGGTGGGCAGGGTAGGCTTGCCGGGGCATTTTGAAAGGAGAATCTCTATGACAGGTGCCTTTGTGAATGTTGGAGCTGCGTGGAAGAGCCAGAGAAGACTGAGCTGCGTCGACCACAACTCCGGGTCTGGCTACTTCTGATTAAAGGGTCAAGATTTTCTATAACTCTTGTGTAACAAAAAGCTGCAGATCTCGGGCCCAGCTGAGTCCCATAATGCAGTGTGATTTTCCCAGATTGCTTACGTTTTCAGAGCCTAGACCCCACCCCCCCACCGAATCTCAGCCTCCTCCCCACTTCCCATCATCACCGAGTTCTCCACCCACCGACAGCCTGGGAACCTGCCACACCTGGAAGCCGAGCCACCTGCCATGTCCAGACTGTCCCTGCACCCAGAGAACGCACCTTTCCTTGTGCTCGCCTGTGTTTGCTGATGTTGCTCTGAGCCTTTCAACACTAGAGAAACCATTATGGAGATGGAGGAGTTTTGTAGGAAAATGTCTACATCGGTGTCGTTGTTCTGTTTTCGAAGCGTCTGCACGCTCTGATTCGCAAGCATCTCACCTGAGAAACTCCCCAGCCTGGGAGCCGTCGCGTCCCCGCCGTCGTGGATCTCCAGGGAGTCCCAGTTCTGCTCCGTGGCAAAGCTGATCACTTGGATCTGCCAAACCACGGCGTCGAGTTAGTATCGCTTGTGGCTTAACAGCATGGGTCTGCTCAGATGGGGGTTTTCATGACTGAGACACACGCGTGTACACGTACATGGCAAAGTCAGCAAAGGCAGACAGGAAAGAACATTCGACAATCTCTACAAAGGGCGCTTTTGATAGTTTCTATCCTAAGGAATGATTATTTTTATTCCCAATATAGAAACATGATTAGAAACATGTCGTAGAGATAGTAAGAAAAGAGAAACAGATTATGGTCTATGTATTTAAAATAATCAATACAAAATTAAAAAGGAAAGGAAAGGAAGAAAGACAGAGAGAGTGAGAGAGGCCCACAGCCCCCATCTGACCCATTTGTGGACTCTGGACCTGGAGGACTTACCTGAATTCCCGACCCCTCCGTCACTATGATCTTCCATACACAGTTCAGGTTGTTGCCGTAGGGCTCAGGGTAGCCAGGGGACAGGATGGTACCTCTCCGCTGGGTGAAATTGCCACTACAGGGGACTGAAGGGCAAAAGCATATTTAATAACAAGGAAGTGTGATGAGGACAACATGAATTTGGCCTTTAGTTTTCTTTTACCGTGTGATCAGATAACGAGAGAAACGTTACATGTATATGATACGTTAAATGACATTTTTAGCCAAGGTACAATTTAGTCTATTTTCTTTTAAATTAGTGATATCATTGATTTTATCTACCATGGTACTAAGTTATAGATCTTGAGTCTATAAATAAATCTTTTCCAATTCTCTAAGAAAGGACTGTACCCAAAAATGGCGTCTTGGAAGTGAATTGTGTTTAGAATAATTTATCTACTGTAATTTCAGGACCTTGGCAGAGTATCCTCTTCTCTATGCAGACATGCAACTCCAAACGATATTAATGGGATTTATGAGCAAGTCCAGAGAGAAGCTTAAAGTGTACGAGTGAATGCTAGTGCTAATCACGATTGCACTAGAGTGTTCTACACAAATGAAGCAAATAAACTACAGCTAACAAGGTCATTGTTATTCAGGCTGCATTAACCTATTACTTTTCAAACATTCATCAGCACCAATTTATTAAAAGGACATTATGTCAGTAATATTGCAAATCAACATTATAATGATTTTTCCCCAAAATGAAATGATGTTGTATATCCAAGACTTTAGAGCTGATGGCATCTTAATGAGCATTGAGAAGAAAAACATGCCCTATCCTTGTTAAGCTGATGCGTTGTTTTATGAAACACAATAATTTTTAGGGTTTGGCTACTACTCGATTATTTCCAATGGAATAAATTGCTCTTATGTGGGTCATGAGCGTGATGGACTTATGTGGACCGGACAGAACAGCTCTGCAGCACCGCTGAGCGCTTCCGGTCCACAGCCCTGCGTGAGCTACCACACCCGAAGACACCGCTTACCCACGCAGCTGGGGATCGTGTCGTTCCACTGCGCCAGAGCGTTGGGCACCGACTGGCAGCGGAGCGCCGTGGAACCCTGAAGCAGGTACCCCGGGTTGCACTCAAATCGGACGATCGAACCTGCAGAAAACTCGGAACCGATTCTCCTTCCGTATCTGGGCTCAGGCACAGAACTGCACTGGGTATCACTGGTTCGAGGAACAGCTGGAGGCAGAACACAGAACACAGCTGTCTGCATCTCCATCAGGAAGTCAAGACACTGCCTTGAATCCGAACAATGACAGATGCTGTTTGGGTAACTGCTGCTAAGAAATCAACGATGTAAAGATAGAAGTCATGAGATTATTTTGATTCAACTATGCTTCAATTCAGTGTTGAAATATTTTCCATCTGAAAGCAAAAGTCAATGCAATTTCATACCATCTAAAGGCTATGGTGGAAAAAAATTAATGATATATCAGAATTTATCTTTTCTATAAAAAAAGTGAAATATAGAATAACTATAATATTCTATAAGGTTGAGTATCCCCTTATACAAAATGCTTTCAGAATATTTGCATATGCATAAAGAGATATCTTGGGGATGGGATCCAAGACTGAACATAAAACTTATTTTTGTTTAACATACATCTTTAACACACAACCTGAAGGTAATTTTATACAATATTTTTAGTGATTTTGTGTACGCAATAAAGTTTCAAGTACATTTTGACTATGACCCATCACATGAGGTCAGGTGTGAAATTTTCCGTTTGTGACGTCATGTCGATGTTCAAAAGTTTTGGATTTTGGATTTTCAGATGAGGGAGGGTCAACCCATATAATAAAAAACAGCTTCAATTATATTTATGTGTCTGAGTATTTTGTTACAGTTAAATAATGGCATGAAGGAAAAAATATATCCTATCGAGGCTTCCACGGTCATCTCGGGGATTATTTGCAAAAACAAGCATCACCAGTGGTAATTTTTCTGCTATGATGGATTACTTGGAAAGTACCCACTATTTGTGGCAAAGGTTGCGCTCATCTAAGGGGCTTCGAATGCAGCATCTCTTGCTTGTCTATTTCCAGGGTGTCATTATCATCCCAGGGTCCCAAAAATGAGAACAAACACAGCATTAGGTCACTATTACAACTTCCTCAGGAGCTTCCTATTTTATTATTTTTTATTTTACTTTATTATTGTCATTTTCAAGGAAAATATCAATAAATGAATAATACCTGTATAAAACTATGGAGAATGTTTTTAGAGGAAGAAGTTTGGAAAGTAAAGAGAAGAAACTGATTTTAAGAACGTGAGAAAGTAGGACAGAGAAGAGTTATGAAATCGAGACATCAAACTTCCACATGATGTCGGGGGGAGAAAATCAAACAATGTTCCGTAACTGTCCCTCTCAGCCAAGATGCTGGTTCTTGCCCTTCCACCTGGACATTTCAGACAGTGTCGGAAAGAAATCCCATTCTCTACTGTAATTATTGTTTATTTTTGAGTAAATGTTTCACACTGCTGTGAAACAAAATTGAATCGGCCCCGTGGACACAGGAGCAGGGGGCAAGGTCAGTCTGCAACAGAGAGTCATAAACAGAGTGATCGACTTCTCAGGCCGACCGTTGTGCCGCTTCCGACCCGGATGCTTTTCTCCGGGCTTTCGCAACGCCGAAGGTGCGTACACCTTGCAGGGGAAAAACAAGAAACACAACGTGATAGATTCGCTAATTGTTCCTCCCCAGCGCAAGTGCTCTAATCCACGGACGTGCCTGCTGCCTCTGCTAGTGTAGACAGGGCAGAAACAGCAACAGCAGCAATAATAAAATAAACCCGAATGCATGCCCAAATCGCTTGCGATATCTAAGTGAGTCAGTTCCCTGTTTCATTTAGTGACCGAGGGACATTTTCTATTTCTCAAAATCGTGCCTCTTCAGTAGTTGAAAATCTGATTCAACAAGCCAGTACTAGTCAATGAATTCAAACACGTTGCTGAGTTACAAATAGAATTGATGCCCGGTCTTCTTCATAAAAAGTACGCATTTTATAAGCCTTGATACAAAACGTGAGTTTCTTAGAAGTAGAAAACCAATTAAGCCTCATGATTAATGCATCTAAAAGGAGAAACGGCCTGGGGAAAACCAACAGAAACATGTGTTTGCATGTCTTGGAAGAACTTCAAGCAAAGAAACTCTTAACGTACATTCTTTTCACCCAAATTTAAAAAAAGTATTTCTATGTTTTTAGCTCTGTTTACTTTTAAGAATGCTATTTAATTAACTACATTAACATGTATGCTAAAGAGAGAGAGTCTTGCCAATAGGAAAGCCCTGGAAGAGGGAAGGTTTGAGCTACTGAGTCTGTTAGACTGGGTAGGTGCCGTATCACGTGTGGGTGCTGAAGAGCAGTACCTAGGTTAGAGCTGTCGTCCCAGCAGACACGACTTGGAAAGGCAGAGACAGGGCTAATGGACGTGTATAAACTGCGCCCTGTGGGGATGTAGGAGGTAAAAATACGGCTTCCTTTTTCCCCTGAAATAGATAGTAAATCCTTACAGTTTACTAATTTTGTTGTGAGGGTATAATTTTGAGAGAACTGAAAGTGGCGTTGAATTTTACATCGAAACCCAAAAGAAAAATAGGGTATATGTGGAAATAGCCAGGCATAAACATAAGCATTAAAAATAGTAATATATCAGTGAGGTTCTCTCAACCACCAAGCTTAATGCAGACACAGTCAGTCGTGTGCACCAGACAGGAGAAAGGGGAGGACAGCGTGGAGCTTTGACTGTCCTGCCATGAACCAGCTGCCCAGGACAGCAGGAGAGGGAAGGTTTGCTCCCCCCCAGTTGGCCTCCGTTGCCGTGGTGACTGATTCTAGTGTTGGTTGATTCTAGTGTTGAAAGGCATGCAGTTTGGGCCAAAGTCTCTAAATGCAATTGCTTTATAGAATAGCATCAGAGATTTCTTCTAATACTGGAAGCAACAGACGGTGCTGGACTTACTAAGAAATGGTATGTCTGACTCATACACTGCTGGTGGGACTGTAAACTAGTGCAACCTCTGTGGAAAGCAATATGGAGATACCTTAAAGAGATACAAGTAGAAGTACCATTCGATCCAGCAATCCCATTACTGGGCATCTACCCAAAAGAACAAAATTTGCTCTATGAAAAAGACACCTGCACCCGAATGTTTATAGCAGCACAATTCACAATTGCAAAGATGTGGAAACAACCCAAGTGTCCATCAATACATGAGTGGATTAATAAAATGTGGTATATGTATACCATGGAGTACTATTCAGCTTTAAGAAACAATGGTGATATGGCACCTCTTTTATACTCCTGGATAGAGCTGGAATGCCTTCTACTAAGTGAGGTATCCCAAGAATGGAAAGACAAGCACCACATGTACTCACCATCAAATTAGTATTAACTGATCAACACATAAGTGCACATATAAGAATAACATCTATTGGATGTCGGGCAGGGGGGAGGGGGAAGGGGGGAGGAGGGGACAGGTATTTGCCATCACAAAGAGTGCAATGGGCACCATCCAAGGGATGGGCACACTTGAAACTTGGACTTGGGGGGGAGTGGGGAGGCAAGGGCAACATATATAACCTAAACATCTGTACCCCCATAATATGCTGAAATTAAAAAAAAAAAAAAGAAAGAAATGGTATGTCTGATTTTCGCCTTTTGCATTGACCTAAGGATATGCTGACTTTAGGTACAATATATTTTCTGTAGAGTGACAAAGGCCACCACACCTGTGCAACCAGCTCTAGTCACTGCAGGATGTGTCATCTCTGCTGGCAGTAAAAGGTTGGGGAGCTCAGGAGTGGAGGGGGGGACACAAGAGTCCCCTTTGCAGTGAACTTCAGGGAATTCCTGGAAGCCAGGAAACAGGTAAGCGGAATTTCTGCTTGATGCCTAAAAGAAAATGTGCAGAGTGGAACACGGTCCATGTTTAAAAGCAAGAATTGTAGACCTCCTACATCTTCAAAGTTCTCTTATGCAGGAAAAAAAAAGAGATTGTGGTTCAGCCCTGGAGTATTAGAACCATTGCAGACACTCTCACACTGCGGGTGGAGAATGATGAGATTGTTTTCATGATAGTTTCTCTCTACAGCTCTGCTTGCACCGTCTACCTGCTATTTATTGCACAGCTGAGGGAGCGGCTGCTGATTTGCAAGCGGGTGAGGGTTGGACGGGCAGGACTCAGGCCTCAGCTGCTGCTGTGGAGGGGGCTCCACCGTCACTGAAGTGTGGGTGACACGGGTCACTGGGCTCAGTCTCCAGCACTTCTTACGTGACCGGAGACTGGTGGACTGTGCGTGCTGCATTCCCTGTGGAGCGCACGTCGCCGTGATGATTCCTCAAACTGCGCCAAACAGCAGCCCACCAAAGCTCTTCCCAAGACCCGACTCAGGGTCGTCCGTAAATCAGTGCAGAGGAGCTACTTAAGAGCTTCCTGAGGAAGGGCCACCCGCTATAGCCCTACTTTGAGGTGCTCCTGTGTTCCAATTCCCCCTCTTTCTTCCCTCATGCTTTATAAATGTACCCTTCTATCTCAAATAGTATGGAAAACAAACAAAACCCAGCAAATCTATAGGTTAATCAGGATGCTTTATAAAAAGCCCCTACACTTCCATTTCTTCGTAAGTTCAGAGAGACGGTAACATCATTGTTATTAATGTCCCCGCATGGTTAAACAGCGTCACAGGGAGGTGTGTGGAGTGAAGGGCCAGGGACCATGGTCTTTGCACATCTGGAATCACACACACGTGTTTGCACCCTGACACTGCTACACCTGCTTTCACTGACGTCTCCGGCAGCTCTTCATAACTGTTAACAAGGGTTAGATTTCCTATAACCATGAAAATCCTGAAGTCTCAGTGCAATTTTAATCTTTAATAATTTATGAAAGTACGAAGCTGTAAGTGGTGTAAGAAAGCACTATTCAGAAAATTTCTGTGCAATAGAGTTCACATAACTTCTAGGCTTCGGTATAACTATCTTTCAAGAGGCGATATTCAATTTAACTTTTCATATGTGTTGAAAACTTTTCCCATTGGTGTGAAATAATTTATAAATTGCATTTATGATCTCAGTTCTTTACCTCCAAAGGATGTACTTTTGATAAAAAGACATCAATTTTTGCATAAACTCACTGGTATGAACAAAGCAAGAGAAGGAGGTATATTAGGACTTTATGAAATATTGAAGCTGTTAGAATTGTTATATATTCTTAAGTAAAGGAGAAACAGATCACTTCTATAAATGACTTTTCTTTCTACTTTTCTGTGTCTTATACATTATGACAATGTATTAATTTTTAAAAAGGAACATAATTGTTACGAAACATACCTTGTGAGGATAACATTTGAAGACAGGATAGGCATTGGACCATTGGGCATGAAATATTTTATCTGGTTATCTGATAGATTTTCTAATTTTCATCAAAAATACAAGGAAGCCCTTTAAAAAGGTCTGACAATGATAGTAATTTGAATATTTCCAGGAGGAAAAATGTCCTTAAACGAGGTGGTCTAGTTTCTTTGCATGTCACGCCAAGTTTGGTTTGTGATTCTGCTTTTGCAACGGAATACAGAATTTGAGGACAATAGAAGGGGAAGGAAGCAGTGATATAGTTTGAGGTTTGTTTCCTCCAAATCTCGCTTTGAAATCTGATCACTCTGGGGCTGGGCCTGGTGGGAGCTTGTTTGGGTCCTGGGGGTGGGTCCCTAACAAGTGGCCTGGGGAGTCCTGGTCATGGTGAGTTCTCCCCTCTGTAAGTTCCCTTGAGAGCTGGTTGTTAAAAAGAGCCTGACACCTCCCCTCTCTCTCTTATTCCTCTCACCATGTGACACACCCACTCCCTCTGCCGTCCCTGTGAGCGGCAGCTCCCTGAACCCCTCTCTGGAAGCAGCTGCTGGCCCAGGCTTCCTGAGCCGCCGCAGAACTGTGGGCCAGATGACCGTCTTTTCCTTATAAATTACCCACCTCGGGTGTTGCCTTTATAGCGACACAAACAGACTAAGACAGGCAGGTTGCTTCCACAGGCCATTCTCTAATAAAGCCCCTTTTTTAAAATTCTGGGTGACTATTTACATTCTAACAAAAGACGCAACTTATAACAATGTAACCACTTTTATTTCGATAGCACCGCCATTCAATCAACTCCTATTAAAACAGGACAGAGAGACCTTCGCGGCCCTCTTACCTGTCAAACACCTTTCTCACTGTCTTCCCGTTACTCTGCGTCAGCTTATTGCTGAAACCTGAAAGGTTTTTCGGGTGAACTATTTTGAGGGCATGGATCTTGCAATTTGAGATGATTAGAAAATATATATAAATGATACGGCATTGTTATTCTCCATAACTTTTTGGAAAACATAACATTGTCAAGAATGTTTTCTGGAGAAGTCTTTATCAAAGGAAAGACACCTTGCTAAGAAATAATTCTCTTCCAATTCTGAGGAAATATTTAAGAGTGGCCAGCCTCCAGCGAAATTGAGACCTAGAAACACTCACGGATTTGCTTCTTACTTTTGAACACACAGTTTATCTCTGAAGATGAAAGCTCCTTCAGATCCCAGCCTGTGCGGTCACTACAACTTCCACCCAGAGATCTGCTCTGTGCTTCCGAAAGTATAGGAACGGTGTGTGGCACTTTTTTCAAGTTCATGCAATAAATATGCAAAACAAAGGTGAAATATATTAGGAAAATACGATTCACTTTTTGAAATCTTGGAGCAATCTGGAACATTTTGAATAAGCCCTAAATTCAAAAATAAGTATAAAGGGGTAAAAGTACCAGAAGCTAATTGAAAAAAACCAACACAAACAAAATAAATATTCAGTTAGGATAATAGATACATGAGTGATTTTATATTTTGTTTGGTTTTGTTAAATTGCCTTTTAAGTTAGTTTTTACAATAAGATGTGGAATTCTATAATGCATTTTAATCAGTTACTAAGATATAAACTATTATATTATACCTTACTTAAATATTATATTTGAAGTCATTGTGCAAGATATAAAGAGCTACTGAGAGGTAATGTGACCAATATTTGTTTCCTTATCGTGTCGGATAGATGTGATATTATTGAGTACATGTAGTAGAAATATCAGAGTCAAGTGTCAAAAGAATTGTAATGTTTTTATTAAATAATTTTATTATAAATACATGAATACCGTCAATTAATCAAATATCAGAAAAATGCAACTCTGATCCTGTCAGTGCTTTGTCTGAAAACAGTGGCGCATGCAGTCCTGGGAGACCCAGGTGACATGCGGGTGACACTTACCTTGGTACACGAAGTGGAAGCCCCGGGCAGAAGCACCACTCTTCGCGCTGAATCGGAGCAGAATCTGGTTTGACGTAGCCAAAGGCAATGTCTCACCTGTACATAAAAACAGATAATCCTGAGATCCGGCAAATACACAGTCTTCAGGGGGAAGATCATATTTTGGAAAAAAAACAATTAACTCGAAATTTCACATTTGATTTTGAACCTTAAAAAAAATCTTCCCTTTGGGGTTTAAGACCCAAATAAATTGTTTTTATAAAGATTTTGAAACTCTGTTCTTGCTTGTTCATTCTATTAAAATATATTGTACTCCTGATGTCATGCGTGCTTTCTTGTGAAGAAAGCGTCAAACTGGCCTACGGACTGATACGAGGGGAGCTGTCAGTCCTGAGCGAATCGTTTACTCGGAATCACTTTACTTTGATAATTACCTGCTACAATTTTACTTAAAATTAAGAAATTTTCTCTGAATCCAAAGCTGATTAAAAAGAGAATAAAACTAAAGGATTCAGAAAAAACCTTCTGAAATGTATTTTTAGTCTTTTAAAGTTCATATAGCACATGGGGAAGAGGCCGTTTCAGGCACTGGTGAGAGGAGAACACATTGGCTTAAGGTTTTTCAGACGGGGAGAATTTGTTACCATGTATTGACATACTGCATGTGTGTCTTCGGATGCATCCTCAGATATCACATCGTCGAACATCGGTAGAAAATAACAAACACAGATCCTAAGACTTTGGCTTAATAATGAAACAGCAAACAACTGGACACAGCCAAATCTTTACCTTACTTGGCCAAAGCTGGTGATGCGCACGGCTTACTTGGTAAAGGACCTGGTCCATTTACTCGGTAAATGGTGAGGATGTAGCAATAGAGCGCATAAGGGCTAGGCCATGTATGAGGAGTGGTTACATAAATTGTGTCGCCTAATTCAACAATTCAGACCTCAAAGTAATGACATTTGATATATATTTATATGTTTTGATAGAGAAAGACTTGTATGTGTAACTTTAAGTGTAATAATGAGATAAAAATAAGTTGTCAAATAATATCCCATGTTTTATGAGGTCCCATATACGCTCATGCAAGCGTGCACAGATGCCTGCGTGTATATACGTGTGCATACTTTGCATGTGTGGATGTGATGGGTCTCTGTATCTACGTGCGTGTAGGTTTGGAATGATCTAGAACAAAATATTAATAGTTTTTATCTACAGTTAGAAGATTAGGACATGGGATAAAAAATAAAACCTACAAGGTAGCTTATTATCCCTTTTTTTTTGGATATTTGCTTCTTTTATTGAGATAAGTACTATATTTTTCACAATCATAGTAAGCAAAATGATAAAGGCAGGTGGTTTTATATATGGGATAAAAAATACTTTTGCAATCTTACATCTAAAATAAAATTTTCCTAAATACACGTTCAAATTCAAAGATGATTAAATTTCTCATTAATCAAAGCAAAGAAAAAGAAATAGACAAGTATTAGACTTAATCGCACTAGCTGTCGGAATGGACTTGACCGCAGCGTTGACTGAGAGCTTACCTGAATGAGACCCGGAGAGGGAGCTGAGCAGTCTGGCCTGGGCATGCGTCCCGTCAAATAATTCTGCCAAATCGTTCAGCGCTGTCTGGAAATAGGCGAACTGTCCAAACACCACTGCAAAACAAAAGGGGGGAGTTGGCACAATAAATTAAAAAAAAAAATGGTTGTACTGTGTATTTATTGATTGATCCAAAGGATGATTATCCTAAGAACCTTGTAAAAAATAAATATCAACTTATTTTCTTTACTTTCTAAGTTTACAGTTGATTAAATACTTTTATTTGCTTCTTTATCTCTTGTTATGTTGAGAAATGTTGAAGGATGGACATATTTGAAACACGGACTTGGGGGGGGAACCAAGGGCAACACACGTAACCTAAACATCTGTACCCCACAATATGCTGAAATAAAAAAAAAAAAAAGAAAAAAAATAAATACTATTAATGCACGAAGACAGTGGCAGAAGAATATCTGCATTCATTTATTTTTGAGTAATTAGTGACATTTTATTCAATGAAAAATAAGCACAGAAATCACGCCCCATGATAATTTGATGGGATGTTTAAAATTCTTCACAAAAGATTATTAAATGCCAAAATCATATTAACACATGGCCAAATTGATATTAAGTCACTTAAACACTTGATTCAGTAACATACCATAAGAATGGCTTGTTATTCCACAGAATTGTTATTCAACAATTTTATTTATCCTATAGGTTATGAATGTTGTGTGAACACACCTCCTCCAGGTAAAACTTAACCACACATTCTATGACTTCAAATGCAATCAACGTTCGTGCATCTGAATTGACACAGAGGGCCTTTGCAATATTTAGAAAAATCTGTGGTTTAGTATCTATTTATAAGCAATGAACAACTAATCCTTTTCTTATTTATGTGTAAGGTTAGCATCGAAATCATTCTACATCATTAGGAGTGAGAAAGGGAGGGGTGCATGCTGGCTGTGCAGGTCAGAACTCTAACGGAAAGAATTAGTGTTAGTACAATGGAGATAATCTACCTGCAACAGTGCATGTGCCTGTGTGTGTGTATGTACATACATATGTATTTACATAACAGAATACATACACATGCATAGTGTAACAGGCATTATTGACATGTTATGATTTCCTAGAGAGAAATACAAAGGAGTATGTAGGCAAGATGGATTTTTCCAACAGAAGAAATGCTCTAAAAACCTGGCTTCTTGGGGATTATAGAGCGAGAGGACGCTACAATTTTTCTACAGTTCTCGCTTATAAAATCCTTCCCCCCCCACCTCCCCAAATTAATTAATTTGTTATCACGTTGGAGGCTGAATGTTTGGGTCTTTTAATTAGCACAAAGGTGAATTATACATACATAATTCCTACTTTTCTTGAAGAAATGTTTAGTGAGCATCAACTTCCTGCTAGAAACTAAGAGTAAATGATTTGTCATTGCAAACTGAACTTTCCACCCAGGGAGAATAGGGTAAGTCTGTATCATTACACCTTACACATTGGGAATTTATAATCAATATTTGGAGTAGGAACATGACATTTTTTCTGCTGAAAAAATATAACTGTGTTGTGATAACAATTAAATTTTGTGCTCAGCTAGAATCATGGAACAGGGCTGCTAAATCCCACTGCGATGAGCACATTCTGTCATGTATACATGAAGGAGAAATGAAAGGATTTTTGTGATAAAGTAATTCAAGGAATGTTGAGCATTTAGTTGGGAAAAATGTATTTCATTTAAACACAGAATTGAGGCTGAGGTTAAATAAGGAACGTGAGTAGAGAGAATTTGGTCCAGCTTAGAGAGCTGGAATCTAGACACCGTTCTTGATTCCGACTACCGTTAGGTAGAGAGCTGGGATCTCGGGCTCCTCTAGAAATCAAGTCACTCTGCGAAGCTCGCTCCGGTTGGGAGCAAAGTATAGGAGGGAAGCTCAGAACTTTGGGTTTCGCCCAGTGGAACAGGACTCTGCCTGCTTCTACGCCCCCGAGTGCACACAGTGGGCTCAGGGGTGCCGCGATTTCCGCCACAATCAGATGGGTGACTTCGCGGGTCGATGGTGCACAGAGGCACGCCGCGCCGTCCTGACCCACACACCACTTTGCAGTCCTCCCGTACACGTGAAGGCCACCAACCCAGAGAATGATTTCAGAGAAAAATAAAAACAAAGCCAAATTAATTCTCTCTGATGATTCTGCATTGGAATCCTAGAAGGGAATTTAACCATTTCGTAGCACAGTGGTAAAAAATACTGTAATGAACATGGTGTAAGACATATTTGGAAACCTTACCACTTAAATGCACTCGTCTTCTTTTATAGTATTATTTATTCTACTAAGAGCCAGAATATCGGTTCAGGAAATGGCAGAGAAATTAACAAGGGAAAGAAATATGACAATAAATTAAAAATAAATTCTTACCGAACTCCTTTGGCACAGTTATGGAGTAGAGGCATACTTCACCAGCTGTGTAATTACGAGGGTAGTTTGGGGATAAAACTACCCCCTCCGACCCCGTGTACTGGCCTCCACAGGGAGCTGAAAATAAAACCGACCGAGAATTACGTCCTGTTTGATAATAACACCGCAAGTGATGTCCGGCCAAGGCCGAAAATCATCAAGTAAGCGAGTGGCATGGCCACGTTTATCTGAAAACTTAACACAATATTAAAGTTAAAATCTCCTTTCACGTTGCTATCAAAGTAATAGAAAAATAAACGCAAAGACTTACCAGGTTTGAATAAAAGTAATTCAATTTAGGAGAAGGATCTAACGCTATTTCCAAGACCTGTCTCAGGCATGTTTAAACAATAAAGAAAATAGCTATACTAACAGTAAAACAGGTCCGATAAAGACACAACTGAATTAATTTAAAAGGTCTCACCAGCATGGCCTGGTTGACATCAATTGCCATATTAACTTAAGAGACACACACATTATTTCAGTTTTCTATTGTTCTTATATTAATATGGGACTAAAAGGAAAAATGATTTGCTGTTGAGGGTTTTTTAGTTTTAACTTTTCATCTCATCGACTGAGCTATAGAGCAACATATATAATCACTAACGCTGCTGCAGCCTCCTCCTCTGGGTTCACGTGAAAGCTGAAGGAGCCCTTTACTGGACAGTCAGGGCAGATAACAGAGAGGGTGGGTGGGTGTGTGTGTGTGTGTGTGTGTGTGTGTGTGTGTGTGTTGATCTTCCCTGATCATCCTATTTACTTTGGCGTTGCTCTTCCTGAGGGGGGAAGAGAAAAACGCTGTAGCGCGGATGCTCAGAACATGTTCATCAGCATCACATGTGAACACAGACATCCAATTCTATGCCAGTCACCTGATATGCAGTCTTTAAATTAAATCGCAATACTTCAATTCCTCATATTTTCACATGAGTGGGGTCCAAGTCCACCCATCTATGTAGCTGCAGAGCTGTGACTGGACAGAAGTCACCCGACTGCCAGCCGGTTGCACCTGTTGCCACCCGGCCATGGCCTGACTGCGTGGCTGATTTTAGACGAACCTTTGCTGATTTCAGTGCAATCTTATTTTCAGTCTCCCAGAAACTCTGTATTTCTACAGATCATCTCTGCTTTTCTTTTTTACAGTACTTTGAGTCACTGTTTTATTTTCCTTTCTTTTTTTAACAGTAATTTCTTCTTGATCTAGCAATTTTCAAGCCTCAAAAAAAAAAACAGACATTAGAGATAACATGTTTAATCCTTTGAATGTTGATTAGTACCTTGCTGAATCCTAATTGACGGACAGAAAATTCTCCGAGATTAATAAAGCTCCTCAGAATATGGTAATGCTGAGGTGAAGGCACTTTGCTAATGATTTATCAAGAGATTTCCCAAATCCGTGCATTACAATGGCTTGGAAAATTTAAGTCAGATTCTAAAAGTCAAAGGAAAACAGCTTAGACATCCGACAGCTTTGATCTGTTTATGATCAACTAGTAGAGATTTTACTTAATTAGACCAAGCTCGGCCTTCACGCTAATGTCTTAATTCAGAATCATGTTATCGTTCTAAAGACATTTGCATAGACTCTTTACAATTTTAAATAGAAGAATTCAGTTTTCTCTTTTAGAAGGAGGATATTTCCATAGCTGAACTCCAAGAGAATCGCAAGAGAACGCAGAGAGACTCACACTACCCAGGCAGACGTATCCCTCAATTTTATCTCCCCTCCTCACCCATGTAAATTCAAGCAGGTTATTTCAGAATTATCTCTTCTTTCTCCTCAAAAGTTTAATATTTAAGTTAAAAAAATAAGTACAAATAAAGAATGGAAATTTATTTTGATCATATAAAATTCAAGCAAATCTTTCTGCAAATATCTTCTTTCTACCAAAAAAAAATCATCAATTTCAAATTTTAAATAAGAATTATAAATGAAAAGTGGAAATAAATCATCCTTGGGCCAAAATGTTGATGCCCAAATTGTTAGAAATGGGACTCATTCTTATCAGGGACATCATCTTCTGATGTATTTTTTAAAGTGTAACTACAAAGACCCACGTTGTCCAGGGGCAGAATGGAAGAACACTACCTTATGATAATAGAGAATATATCTTTCTTAAACTCAAAGATGAAATAAAAGAAAACTGACCTGGCACGTTGGTTCTTTACCACCTTGATAAAGCTGTGCTTAAGCCTATACATTCTTCCTCAGACTCACTAGATAAGCACCAAACATGCACGATACGTTTTTGACACAACATTTGTGAAATTGAGAAAATTATGTAATTTTATTTAATACTTAATAATTATTATGTCTGTATTACTGTGCTAATCTGAGAAACAGGTGAAGTCCTTCTTATGATAGAAATTATTTTATATTGATGCTATAACAAGAAAAATATGTGATTACTATCTGGTAATTATTGTGTTAGATTATTTCCTAAATGAATAAAGACATTCAACGGCATTCATTGCAGATGGTAACAACAGCCTTGCTCATCCATTAGGGGTTAATTGAAACACACACACACACACATCTCTCATATGTAAAGGCAACAACATATGAACAAACTGAATAAACAACAGCAACGAAACAAAACTGGAAAAGAGAAGCTATTCTGACCCATGAAAGGGGCTCTCCACTGTTTCAATTTGAGTTCAAATTATATAGCAAACCTCAATGAACATAAATTATAGGCTATAAATGAATAACCAGGAAAAATTTATACAGTGCTTCTGAAAGAAAATGGACCAAAACGCACTGACTGCATCCTGTAATACAGGAACTTTCAACGTGTTTAAAATAGAACAAAAGTGCCCAGGTCCTACTGGTGATCTGAACGAATCAGGTGTTGATTTGTGCACAAAACGTGCTGCTCCCACGAGAGAGCCAAGACGCACCGTGGGGAAACCATCTCTGCTTTGAAGATTTGGAACATCATGTTTATTCCCACGTGAACAGAATACCCCTCCAAGAAATCAGTGTTCTGGCAGTCACGCACTTCCATGCCTGGTAAGAGTAATTGTGCCTGACTTCACAGATCGTCAGACATGGAAAAAGAAACACTCTCCGATTTAAAATTTTATTATAAATATATTGCCCACTGTGACCTCTTTTTTTTTTTTATGTTTTTCTATGGCTAAAGTATTATAATTCCTCTGTATGTTCAAATTATATTTGAATTTAATACAAATTAAATGCCCTTAGTAGTATGTTTTAAAAAAAGCATAAAGCTCATAGTATCTCCTTAATTTAGCTTCCCGCGTTTATCTCTGTCCCTTCAGTCTCCTCATATAATCACTACAGAGATGTCTGAAGTGGGGAAACATATAACCCAGGGGGTGCACAGATCGTTTTATGGGATGTAAGAAATTACAGTTTTTATCCAAAATTATATCTTGTTAAATGTCAACGTTCAGTTCGTCTTGAAATAGCCCTGCAAATCAATTTCTCTTCAACAAACCACAAGTTTCCACCTTTTTCTTTTTAAAATACATACCATGCAAAGAGGAAAGGGTATAAGTCAAATGCCCACAGCTTGGGGAGTTTTTGCCTGTAGAGACTCCCAGGAAACCACCCCCTGGATCCAGACTGGGAGCTTGGCCACGGCCCGGAAGTCCATCCCGTGTTCACACCCACGGGACAACGGCTGTCCTGTCTGTCACTGCAGTTAGTGGTGTCCGTCCTTGAAGACTGATCTGACTTTTAAGATGTGATTTTACTAATTTAATCTCCAAAAAAGAAATTACAGACTATTGATGTTTTGGGGGAAAATGACACTTCCATTCATATATATATATATAATTTTTTCTTCGTATGTATATATATAGATAGATTTCATGTATATATGTGTGTGTGTATCTATATATAGAGAGAGACAGAGAGAGAAGCAACTGGAAAATGCTAATTATGATTCCTTATGCAGATCAGGTCTAGAATAGGCAGGAACAGGAGTTAAAAATGTCAAACTACCCGAGTGAAGGAAAAGAGCTGCCGTCCAGAAACCCCTGAGAACGGCTACTCCACCAGCTACATTCCGCGCTCAGGGAACGTCGGAGCCCGCCCGTCCTCGCAGCAAGCTGCCCCCTGGCGGAGGCGCGGCGGCGGGCGCGGGACCCCCACGCTTCAGGAGGGACTTTGCGCCCGAAGGCTGCGAGTGGGACAGAGCCCGCGCCCGCCGCACCCACCGTGGCAGGAGGGCAGCGCGTGGTTCCAGGAGGGCTTCCCGTCCGCTCCGATCACACACGTGATGGACGAGGGGTCGCCGACCTTGTACCCAGAGTCGCACTGGTACGTGACGGTCGAGCCGAGCTTGAAGTCCGTTCCCGCTCTCGTCCCGTTCATTATATTTCCGGGGTCAAAACACGCTTCCCGAGGCTTCTCTGCAGGAGAAAGCAAGGCGCACTTCGTGAGAGCAGCATCTTTTCTTTCCGTTTTTGTTGTTTGCTTGTTTCGTTTAGGGCCTAGAACAGTGCTTAGCATATGAGAAATGCCCCCAAAATACTTACCGATCGGCTAATGGCCAAGGTAAACTATTAATCAAATAAAAATAGAAATGTTCCCCTTTAGTAGAATTATATTTGTTTTTATAAAACCACATTTTACTATAGAATTGATATGGAATTTCTCTCATCTAGGTAAAAGAAAAATACAGTACTGCATTTTATACACTTATACATGGCTATAGATTTTAGCACTGAACCAAAGGAATTGATTCTGGAAAAATTAACGTTCATTTTCTAACTTTTCAACTTAAATCGTATTAACATGCAATCGCTCCGCACATTGAGGGAAAGATCTGGCGTCTCAGAAGGAAAATGATCGAACGCCTGGAAGTCGAGAGCACTTCCTTGCGTGGATGACAGCAGAGAGAAGATGATGTGGGAGGCGGCTCCGACTCTTCCACCACCTGCGTGCTGTTGTCTTCATAGAGTGAACCACAAACTCCGCAGGAGAAATACACTCAGTAGTGATGTGAGTCAAACCTCGTGCCTGCCACGGAATGATGCCCCAGGAGTTCCGTCTTACTGACAGCAATTGCCGAAATGTGTCGAGGGCTTATCGTGTACCAAGCCCTGACTCTACGGTTAACTCTAATCTTCACTGCACCTCCGTGAGGTCAGAATCATGAGCTAAGTGACTTCCACAAAGACTTGCTATAGAGACCTGTCCAAACCCAGGGCCACTAAATAAGACATTCCCTTTGGACTGCGCAAAATATCTATTCTTACCAAGCACGAAACTTTCTTGTCTTGCTCAGTCCTGTTACTCTGGAATCAATTTCAATTATCTTCTGGTAACCTTGATATTTTTAATTCTCTATTTCAACGGACCATCGAAAATGTCTCTAAATGAAAAAGTACGTAACCCTACACTTAGGTGTAGGTAATATATAATAAAAGACTGAAAAAAAAGAAAAAAGAAAAAAAACACCAAACCAAACCACCCAACTTTGGGAAGCCCTGTAGGAAGAAAAAGAGGCCTGATTAACTGTGTTTATTCAATATTTTCAATTATATTGTTAATGATCTATGAATCCACGTCAGCCAAACAGGGATCTCTTTGGCAATCATGGACTTAGTCTATTATAATAATCTATTATATTTATATATGTTAAGTCTATTGTAATAATTTAATAAATATGTTTCATTTATATATTTTGGTCAATTTATATATATATGTGTGTGTGTGTGTGTGTGCGTGTGTATAAAACTGTGTAAACCTTCTGAAAGGGCCTCTATCTTTTCTCTTGTTAAAGTCCCTCGGCAAGCATTGTTTTGTGCCTTGGGACCAGTACTGTGTAATTGTTTTACTGAAAACCTATTTGGATATTTCAAGTGGTAGTTGACATTTTGATAATTCTTTGTAGCTGCCTTAAATCCCTCATAGAACACAGAACATTATTTTAAGTAAATACAGAACAAATAAATAAAACTCTAGGCACTATAAAAGTTGTTCCATTGCTGTTGTTTATTCAGTCATTCAATGAAATGTCCTTAGCATCCAGGGAACGCAAGCACGCGTCTTAGTCATAGTATTTTCTCCTATAAAAATTAAAATTTTCTCAGTATATGTCTGTTGCCTCTTCGTCCTTTTTGATCATTTTTTATTATAAATCTCTTTTAGTTCAGTTTCCTATTTGGTTAAACATCACTTAAGTAACTTGATGCCACTGATTTTGATTTCTGGTGGCAGGATTTTCTGCAAGTGACCTGCATCTAACCCTCCGGTTCCGTCTACCCAGTTGTCGGTTCAGGACATTCGGTGATAAATCACTGGTACTTTCTCTTCTGCTTACAATTTGCCAGGCTTTCTAATTAGGTGACTTTGTAACAGTGTGCTTTGCTGTTGTTCTTGTCTGTTCCACTTAGGAACACCCTCGAGTATCCCTGCATCGGGGCCGGACAGACGGACTCTGCCATGTCCCTGGACAGCCGGGCAGCTCCACCGTCCCCTGCTCCTTCCACTTCGTGTCCTTCCTGTCCTGCTTCCCCTGCTCCCCTGACCGCACGAGAGCTTGTTCTATGCCCCATGCAATAGCATCACTCATGTTGTCTTTCCTGCAATTTTTTTCTTTTTCCCACAGACTCTCCTGGAGAACTTTTAAAACGTTAGGAGTTACAGCCTCCGTTTAGCTGGCTATATCGTTTACCAAGGAACCCAGACAAGAAGCAGCTCTTTCTTCATGTGACTCATAAGGCACATTATACACCGTTTATTCACTGACCCACGGATGCAGCTACTTCAGAATGCTGGGGGAACACCGGGCACCCCAGTAGGCGATGATCAATGAAGGTGAAGGTTTGTTCCGTTTGTTTATTTGTCTTCTCGGTTTTGTTTTGTTTTTGATAAACCAGGTACTGGTTTGTCTATCACCGACCAGGTACTGCCATGGTGAAGTGTATTTTAGTGAATTCTAGTTAATACTGAAACTACCCGATCACATGGCGAATGCTTAAAAGTACCGATTTCAATTATTCATGATCATGACAGACTCTACCTGAAAGGGACAGGATATTCCTCTGCGGAATTACACAATTTTTTTAATTGAACATTTTAAGAAAAACCCATATGTTTGTAGATTTTGATGTTTTGGGGAAAATAGATCAATTTTCTACTTAAAACCATGTAAATAAACACAGGCCTGTTAATCAGTTAACAGAGATAAAATATATTCTATATTTTTCCATTTACAAGTTGAACTAAAAAATTTATATAAATATTTTCATTATTTTTTAAGAAAACCCTCATTGCTATCAATTGATATTTTTTTATCTTCTCTAATTCTTTGGTTTTTTTTTTTTTGCTCATATGAGAAATAGATTTGAAAAAAATATACGTATTTTCACGGACCCTACAGCAAAACGCTTAGTTTAGGCTGGTTTTGTTCGGGAGTTTGTCTGTCTTCCCTGGATGTTAATGGCAGGGAATAGTAGCTCCCAAACCAAGGGTGAGCCACTGATCTGCGGACCACAGGGGGAGCGCTGACGGAGGACGCACTCCATCAAGCCGGCCCAGGGGTGGCAGAGACAGGGACGGGCGCCAGAAACGTTCGCGCTGAAGAACGTGCAGATGAAATGGAAATATTTTCATACACTCACATGTAATCACCCTGAAGAAACAGATCAGAAGATATTAAAACACATCTTAAAATAATTCTTGAATGTCATTGAATTCTTCATGGCACAAACCATAATTTATTGTTAAATGTCCTTGTCTTTGGGTAGCTTTTTCTCATATTTTTTTTCTTTAAGTCAGGGTAGAATAGAAACGTGTCTCTGGAATTTTCTCTCCATGGGAGAGGTAGGAGTCTCTTTCCGAGACACGAGACACACGTCAGCATGCACATATGAAACAGACGTGCAAGATTTGCAAAGAAACGCTCACCGTTAAAACAACCCTAATGAAAATTACTTTGCACACAAACACAACTGATCATGGTACCTTTGAACTCAATGGCGAACCCCGACAGGCCCACGGAAGCATCGCTCCGAAATGCGAGAAAAAGGCTGTTTCCGCTACTCTCTATTCTCTCTGGGGCTTGGGAGCCCTGGAAGCTTCCAATGAGGGGGCTGTTGGAATCCGCCCCCTCGTAGATGTGCAGGAAGTCATAGCTGGGCTCCATGTTGAAACTAAGAGAAGAAAACAGTAATTCTATTATCTGCCTAATAGATGCCTTTTCTTCCAGACTATTAAGCCTTCTACAGCATCATGTGATTTTGTTTGCTTTTGTATGAAAATTTTAACAATCAGGGCAGTCAAAAAGTTACGTGACATAATAATCAAAATATCACAATAGCAATAAATAAGACAAATAACAACGTAATAAATACTATTTGTATTTCACATAATGACCACATCATATTCAACACAATGTTGACCATAGCTGAAAAGAAACAAATCATGATAGTATAAATAATAATATCCCTTCTCTGTACCCATGAATTCACTAATGACATGTAATTTAAAAGAACTGGGCTCAAAAGAGATTAATTACCACTGATATTTGGTTTTTATATGAATGTTTTAGTTTTGCAAATATGTACCCCTGGTATTAACGACTATTCTTAAGGTTTTTTAGAAAAGTTATTTTTGATTCTTTCTTTTTACTTTAAAAGATGCAATTGCCTCTACTTGCTCAGATAAATCGGCCAATAGTAACAGTCCCTGCCGTGGTGCAGACTGTCGACTTTCCCAGGCCACTTGCACCATCATCGAATATTCCAGTTCTCTCTTTCTCCCTCCCTCCCTTCCTCTTTCTCCATCTTTCCCCTCTGTCTCTTTCTCTGTCCTCCAATATTAACAGAAGGTCAATCCCCAAAAAGTGTAACGATTTAGACCCAAAGCTCTCCGGGGGTTGCTGGCTTTGCCGGCCGTGCCGTGCGGTCCGAGGTAGCCTGAGCCCCACAGGCGCACACACTCGAGTGAAAGACGGAACTTGGTTCCGATGGCCAAGACCTCGCTGTGGTCAGAATAAATTAATACGGCAGAAGCGATAAGGTCCTCCATGTGGCCGGCCCCTCTCCCTCTCCTCTCATCTCCAGAACAGGTGTCTGTGTCTCCAGTAAGCATGCGATTCAGGCAACTCTCACTCTCTTTCCCTTCCCTGGGCAGAAGTTCTGGCCAACCGAGAGAGCGTCGGGATATCTTTGTAACCACCAAAGTGCTCTGTGTAAGTGGCCTCAGTTTATCTGGAGATTTGGGTGCTAAAACTGGAACAGAAAGTCTCTCCCAAAGTTGCCCAGTGCATCCCGACGGAGCCCGAAGAGCAGAGCCCACCGACGCCGACACCAGCGCCGCACCCCGGCCTGCCCCGTGCCGTCCTGTTTTGGGCCAAGGCTACATTCACTCCAGATACTGAATATGCTTATTACATATTACAGGAAGTTAAATAAGATTACATAGTCTGTTTATTTGACGAGTTCACCGCAGTCAGAAAAAGAGAAAGAGTAAGAGGCTGGAGTTACTAAGCACAGAAGGCTAATAGGAATTGTATGCAGCAAGTAGAATTTTATTGGAACAAAAATTTTATTTGAAGTATTAATATTTTGCAAGGATGTTATTGGACTCTGGTCATGCTGCATTCCCAGTATGTGGCACAGCTAATTACGGTTCTAGATTATTTATTGAACACTGCAAACACAATCAGACACAGAAAACCACGCACATACACACACACATGCACACATACTCCATCTGCTCTCTCTTTCCGGAAGTGATAGAATTCGTGCATAGAAGTCTGGAGTGAAATTTACCACAGTTGTGTTCCTTTGGTTAAATCCTGTCTTATTTCTGTGCTAGCTGCAGCACTATGTCTGTAAGTCCTAACAGCATGCCACATCTAACCAAGCTTTTGAACCAAATTTAATTTGAGTTGCAGTGTGTGGGCTTCAGCCACTCAGTCCACAGGGACACGTGGCAAAACATCTCTCCCCAAAGGCCCCAGGGACCAGCCTTGGGGCTCCTGTGTCCTTCAGGTCCCACAACTCTCTTCCCTTATTGCTAGTAAGGCCAGACTCCCATTCTCCCTGCAGGAGTACCCCTGAACTTAGCCGCACTCTCTAGCAGCGCGCCTTGTCGGTGCCAGCCTCCTGTCTGGGTAGCTGCACATCCTTGTCCCCAAGCAGGATTCTGGCTCCGGACTCCTACCACCTAGGTCTGGTCCCTAACATCCCAGGATTACTTCCACTGGAGCAAGGGCAAATTCCAGACCAGAGAACTCACTGATTTCCACGGGGATGTGAAATTTCTGAGACATTGAGCCAGCTGATGATTCCGTAGGATTTAAGAGTTGGAAGAGACTTAGAGGTTATTTCAAATTTCTCCCAGAAAGGTGTGGAAAAGGCAGTGAAGAAACATCTTGCATAAAACGGCCTTATACTTGCATATGATCAAATGAGTTGCACTTTAGGAACACTGATCATGAGTCACCGGAACACAATGGAAGGTAGGAAACTCCTGCTAAGGTTCCATGTTCACCAAAAGGCTTTTAATTGATAATTCACTTTTAATATCCTAGAATTAGAGATGCCTCCTGGTTTTTTTTTTTTTTTCTTAATAAGGAAGGCACCACTAGAATTTAGCATTAACGAAAAACACAAAGAATTCAAAAACATAACCAGCAAATATTTCACTGATGTTGTGTTACAGCTCAGCGACATTTGGTAAATTTATAACCGCTTTAGTAAATTTGGGAAGTGATAGCTTTCAACCTAGTTAAGATTCAGAATCACAGATACTTAAAATTGTACTGACTAAGATCTTGTCAGCAGAAGATGAAGGAAGGTAATCACATCCAGGTCTTGAACATTGATGTAAAGATCTCTAGACAAGGCAACTTGTTCCACTGACAGATAAATAAATATAATTAAACCAAGAGATTAATGGGACAGTCTATAGAACCATTCACCTTTAAAAATATTACATCATTTAGTTCGAAAATCAAATGATAAAGTTGGAAAACATCTTGGGATTCAATAACGTGTAATTATCCTATACCATACACTAATAATGTGATAGTATTTAAGAATCTATTTTTATAAAATGACCATAGTATTTAAACTTTTATCATACGGTTTAGCATATTTTCAGGACTGGTATCTAGTAATTCAGACTTTACAGCAACCAAATTTCAGGGAGCTTTCAATTTCAAAGCTTTATCAAGTCATAACTATGGTAACGATAACATTTCTACTCTGGGAATGTCGGGTGTGCTATGGAAATGAATTGGCCACCACACATTTAGAGAAATAGGAGACATGACAAGAAATGATACAAAGTGTATCTATGTCATATTTTTATTACTTTTCTTGCATATTCTGCAAATTAAAGTTTCTCACAGGGAGCACACTGTGTGCGAGATAGACCGTATTGAAAAGTTAGCTATGTGTGTCTGAACACCAGTAGAATGCCCCAAGCATAATAACGTATTTCCATTCATGCCCTTCTGCAGCCTGAATATCTATTAGATGCAAAATCTAGGGTTTGCCTAGATGGAAAATTGGAGACTCCATGAAGTAATGAATGAAGTCGTGTTTAGGTGTGGCATTTCACATCCTACTGAAAGCAGGTATTCTGCAAGAGAAGGTACCTTTTGAATATCAAGGCGATGACAAAGTCTGGGTTGACTTTTATCTTCCAGTCACATTCTTTCCCAGGAGGATATGGCTGTGGGTAGTTGGGAGATAAAATAACACCCGCTGGGCCCGTCAGATTCCCGCCACAAGCAGCTGTCACAGAACAAAAGTTGCAGAGAAAAAGTTAGGAGAGAGAACGCCAGCCAGGCAGCCAACGTGACCTGAGACATCACAGAACTCTTAAAAAAAAAAAGCTCATTCATCAGTATTTTATCCCGTCAAAGAGACTATACGTGGAGTTATCAATTATCCAGATAAAATTTTAAGACCCAGGAAATCTGAACATCTTTCATGTAATTGTTAATGAATTTTATATAATCTCCCACCTCATTGTTAGGAAGGATTTTCAAACTTCTGACAAATAAAATGTTCTTCTTGTAACTAACTTTAAATTTTACCCAAGAAATTGAACAGACCACTTCATCCCCACATCCACCAGCAAGCACACACAGAAAAACTTGGATAGAAAATAATCCCCATGAATGTCATTGTATAGTCACATTAATTCTTTTGCCATTTCTTACGGTTTACAAAGTCTGTGCTTATTTATTCTTGAACATACGTGTCACGTGGCACAATGATCATCTCCATCTTTTGTTCATTGTTTTATCCCCAATGCCTAAGCAGCTTCTTGGTCAGAATAAGTACTCAGGAAGTGTTTGCTGAATGAACAGATACATGTCATTTCATGTTCTCACAGTCCCCTGCTTGGACTGACGTCCCCACATTTCAAAATGGCAAGACACGGAAAGTTTAAGTGACATCTAGAGACACATAATCAATGAGGCTGAGCTCTGAAAATATTATTTGATCACAATGCTTCCTATATGATCAGAAAAGCAGTTCATATGATAATAAATTTAGTTTTTTTTATAGTCATCAATACATTTATATTAGTAAGGCAGTAATTATATATATCAATGCTGTTAATAGGCAAGCCAATTTTTGTACTTGAATCTGAAAGTGTTTAGGATTGTTTCATTTATTAGATACAATTTCTCTAAAATCTTCCATCACATGGAAGGTTTTGAGACACTGCAGAATTTATAAGTACACACATTTTTAGAAAGACGCAAAAATATGCTGGGTTTAAAGGTTCTTTGTGTCAAATGCTATGATTTGTCACAAAGTGGTTTTAAAGTGTCACCCCAATTAAATCATAGTATTTCCCTAAACTATATACCTTATTTCACATGGTTAATTGTATATGCATTTAGGAACAAAAATAACTAGAGAAGAAAATGTCCTAATTGGTGATCTTTTCCCTCGCACATAAAAAAAGACTTTTTTGTAAATGAGGTGAAGGAAGATGAAGAAACATGCTTTACAATTTTCAGTGATGGAAGTGTCTTTAAATACTCATTTAACATTCCTGAAAAGTTAATTTTTCATAATCTGAAATATAACTAATTCCAGTACGTTTTGTTCTAATCTCAAAGTCTACTCATAGGCAAACTCTGAGTAATGTCACAGGGGATATCTATAATAAATTCTTACAGATATATCCTCAAGAATAATATGATATAATTTTCATGGAAAAAAAGATTTAAAACCCTATTTTCCCTAGTATGCAGTTTTATTTTAATAAACTATGTGGAAACAATGGTTTCATCAGCTCCGGCAGGACAATGCCCCTCAGAATCACACGGCGGATGCTGACAGCACGGAGCATTAGAAGTGTGGACCAATTAGGGAGGTGGTGCTAATGTGGAGAGGGAAGGTACCTGAGGCTCTAGAAGATTCTATTCCATGCGGGTCTTGAAAGATGAAAAATGACAGATTCGGGGCACTGTCTACAGGGTGCCACCAGCAGGAGGAGTTCAGGGATATGATTCAAATATTGATTTGAAATAAACGAAGGGGAGACCTTGTCTTATTCATGCAGACCCCAGGAGGCAACTTTCAAATGAGGCTCTTTAAAAGCTTAAAGTGGAATTAAGTAGTACTGTCTTGCCTTGTTTGTTGTTCTCTCCTTTGGTGTGGGACTCTTCCCGTCAGCTTTGTTAGATTTTAATTAGGGAGCTTGCAAAATATTTTGGATAGGGATAGAATTTAGTGGAAAACATAACCCTGAGACGCTAAGAAATTCTCCAAAAGGAATGGACGTAGAGATAAAATCCACATGCTCCCATCGACCCACAGTCCCTTACACCCCACCCCACGTATAGCAGCCCCTTCCTCCACCAGGGTGTGGAGCAGCGTCTGAGATGAGACACATGAGCATCGCTGCATGGAAGCACTGGAACATCCACACCCTTCACTAAGGTCCTGCAAACAGCCACCCCGCAGGTTAGGACGCGCTGCCGCCGCCAAATGAGTTTCAGCAAACTAGGGGACAGTCTTGCTTCTCAGAGCTCTTTGGAATTCGGACTTGGTGGAAAAGGTGATTGCAGGCTAGCTAAGAAAACGGAGACTTTTGAGGGACACTGCTTGGAATTAGAGAATTAATCCTTTAAGACTCAGCCGGAAACCAAAGGGAGGAGACTCCATGGTAGAAGTCACTTGGGAAGCGTAAAAAAGGGAGGCGGAACACAGGAAAACCCGACGGCAAGTGGCGAGCTCCTGAAAATGTGTCACCACGTGCCACGGGGAGAGGCTGAGAGGTTGTACAAAAGAGAGACAGGGAACAGCTGGTAATAGGTGAACAACACCAACAATGCAAAATGACCTTAGCAGGTCAATCGGGAGAGAACAAATTCAAAGGGCCAATAAGCATAGGAAAAGAGGAAAACAGTTCAACCTCATTATTAATTTAAAATGCCAATTAAAACAGGGAATCATCCCTTTCTGCCCATCTTAAATTATGAGATTAAGAATTGTCGCATGTCCTGTTTTTTCTAAGTCAGGGAAAATAAACATACACGATTGATGGCAATGTAAATCGTTCAAGCCTTTCTGAAAGGGTTTTGGAAAATGTTTAAAAGTCCTAGAAATACGTCATTCATTAATAATCACAGTGTTTTGTGCAATAAGGGTGTTCACTGTAGCTATCTTAATAATAGGGAAAAGGCTGAGACAATTTCATTGTACAATAATGAGACTAGTGACTAGTGGGATAATATAGGTAGAGTCAAACAAAAAGATACCAGGTGTGGCGTTGGTCGTGCAGTTGTGAGCAAAGCTGCCTTCCAAAGAGATACTATGTAGCCAGGAAAAGCCAGCAGAAAATACAAAATAACACAAAAGATACGATATACTGATAAGAGGGCAATTTACAAAATAATCATGCAGGACACTGTCATTTAAACACATTTTTAAAATAGATTATATATATTAATAATAAGATAATTATAAAGTCTATATATGAATGTTTATAATAATTGTAATTGCCTCCAGGGAGAAAGATGACAGCTTTTTCCCTCTTCTTTTTGCTTTACTGTAGCTTGTAAAATGTCTGCAATAAACATGTATTATTTTTTATACAAAAAAGGGTTAAAAAAATTAAAGAGTGCATCATGGAATGTTCCGAACAGAATTTACGTAAGTAGTAATACACGATCAGCTGATGCCCTTATGGGCAAGTTACTTTTTTTTTTTTTGAGACAGGGTCTCACTCTGTTGCCTGGGCCAGAGTGCCGCGGTGTTAGCCTAGCTCACAGCAACCTCAAGCGATCCTCCTGCCTCAGCCTCCCGAGTAGCTGGGACTACAGGCACTCGTCACCACGCCCAGCTAATTTTTTCTATTTTGGGTAGAGACTGGTCTCACTCTTGCTCAGGCTAGGCAAGTTTCTTGCAGAGGATGTAAACCTCATTTCTTTTTTTTTTTTTAAAAAAAAAAGTAGTAAAAAGAGAATGTTAATTTATTTCCAAATACACAGTTTCCATTTCTCTGTTACATAGTATCTGTGTGTACAGGAAGGTCTGGCAGCCAAAATAATTGATTGCTCAATTGCCCGCAAGTGCTTTCAGCTTGTCGTTGAAGCTGATATTCAAGACACAGGAAGCCTCATTTATCGTCTTTGGTGAGGACTGGCTTTTCTAGTTGTTGGTCAAGATAAGATAACTAAGAGATGAACTAACAAAAGGTAGATTAGTTGGGAAGAGGGTCAAATTGTACAACTCTGTGTTTAAATGAATGTTAAGTGATAAATGACCTTTAGGAGAGAAACTCTAGTTGTACTGCCCTGTAATGTATTCCTCCATGACGTTAAACGCATGCAAAACGGAAGGGGAAAAAAGTCTTTCCTAACCTAAAAATTGGCCAATGGTTTAAAACGCTTGTCACATTTATAGGTTATCACTTCACTTTAAAAACAAAAAGCTAAAAAACAAACAAACAAACAAACAAAAAACCAAGCAGAAATCTTCCAAGTCTCCTGATGACTCAGCTTGAAATAAAAGGCGTGATGGTTCCTGCAAGAGTACGAAACGCAGCACGGAACACTGAACAAACATGGCCAGCGCCCGAGCAGGCTGAGGGTGCTGAGAGGCAGAGCTATCGGACACCATCCCCCTCAGAACGCTACGAGCACTTTGTCGTGAGCAAGGAGCCTGCGCCATAGCTCTCCGAGACCACCCGAGTTTCTCCACTGCTATGTGTGCGACAGTAAAAATCACTGTAAACCACAGAATGCCCTCAGGTCACCCAATGCAAAATGGCTCATCCATTTCGTTATCTTTTTCTCTCTGCACTGATTAATTACATTTTACATTTTTCAAACAGATTATGAAGAAGTACTAAACTGTGATATTTCATTAAAACAATAAAGTTTAGTAGAGTTTCTTTTTAAAATTAAGATGTTATTTAATTCCTACTCTAAGTAGGAATTTTATGGTAAATTATTGAATTGAAGTGACAATCTACATGTAATTACTATTTCATATAAAAATATTTATTACCCTAAGACCATATTTGTGATAAAGTGTCTTAGATGACTATTCAAACCAAAGTCTGTAAAACCATTTATGCTTTTTATAAGATCAAGCTATAAAATTTTAATAAATTTCAGAAAAATTTCTCCTTTTATCTTCATTTTTACATAAGCACTGCAATTTCTAGTTTCCAGGATTCTATTTTTAAATGTACTACTCTTATAGGGAAAAAAAAACATGTGAAAAGAGAAAGTACTTTTTAGTGAGTAGGTTTTGCTTAAGGGCAGGTTTCTATAATAAAAATGAGAACAGCAATGGTAAGGTCATGAATTTTGAGTTACCCAGAATTTTAAATTGCAGTAGTCTAACTGATCCATATTCATACGAGATTTGTTAAAGACAGGAGATGTAAGGTAAGTGTCAATTACTGGATGCTAAGTAAACGACTTCCTTTATTTCACCTAATAAAATAAAATTTAAAGGTTTACCATAAGATTTTGGTAGAGTCTCAGAGAGCCACAGGACATTTAAGAAACTCTTGAGAAATATTTTTGAAGAAATAATGTATTCACAGAGCAATTTTAATGATAACATGCATTCGTTTCCAAACATAAAATTCTATTTTCTGTTGCATGGTACCTATGCACGTAGGAGGGTCTGGTTGCCAGAAGAACCGGTTATTCAGTTGCACACAGGTGATTTTGGCTTGTCCTTGGAGCTGATACCCAGGGTCGCACTGGAAGGTGACGGTGTCTCCAGCCTCCCGGCTGTCTCCATAGCGGGTACCATTTTGAGGCATGCCCGGATCATTGCAGGTCGATGCGATGGATGCTGCCAAGAAAAGACCATGTCAGGTCAAGTGACTGGAGGCAGTTTCTACACGCAGGTAGGGGCAGGGCTCTTGTGGATGGAAGCGCTCTTCATTGGCATAATAAATCATGTATCTACACATGAACGTATGAAAATAATTTCTTTTCCCAGGGATCCATGAAATAACATGCATCTTTATTACGCTTGCATTGAATAAATTCTAGCAAAATCTTATTGACGATACGACTAGTTATGGACTATATCAAGCCAGTGTATCATGTTATGCTTAGTCCACACACATACACAGACATCGCCTTCTGATTTTCTCTTTAACGGTATTTTAATGAAACCACAAACTATAAGTTAAATGATTGAAAAGTACACCAATCTCAAGCAACTTTGAGTAAAATAAAAGAGGAAGAATTCCCTGAAGGACTGTGCCTTCAAAGAGGAACAAATAATCTTTGTTGATGTTCTAACGGTAGCAGGCAGAGGAGATGCCTGATCAGTTTTAAGGAGGATTCCGTAGGCCCCATAGGTGCCATTGCCTTGGTAAAACTATTCACCCCTTTCACTCTCAAAAAAGTTCCAAGCTGGACAGTAAATTATGTGGCCACCCTCATATTAACAAAAAGCTCTGAAAATGATGCCTTGCCTTTTTTTGTATGTATGTGTATATATATATACACACACACACATACATAAACGTGTTATGTGTGTGTATATGTGTGTGTGTGTATATATATATGTATAATTTCAAATCAGTTGAGTAGAGGCCATTGGCATCTGCAAGTCATGCTGGTCACAGAGCTTTTGGAGGATGCTGGAGCCTTGTAAAGTTAGGCTCTGACCATCACATGTGAAACTTCTCGTCATCGATGGACCTAAAACCACATGGCGCAGGCGGCCACCAACCCCGCCTGCTCCCAATTGGTGAAGACTCCCTCAAGCCCAGAACTTTGACCAGAGTTCTAAACCCCACCGTCACGCTGAAATGGAATGGCCTCACGAAATAGTGGTTATTTTCTCCAATTTCTGTAACTGCCCTGTGCTATGTGTTATAGTAAAACTGAGGAAGATCTAAAGCTTAGGAATCTTTTTTTTTTCCCATTGGTACTTTCGGCTGGAATACTGAGCTCTCTCTTCCTCTGCACCGCTGCTCCGTGAAGGGCTGCCGTGTACGCAGCACCCCGTTTCATGAGAGACACAAAAGGAGGACGAGCACATTGCCCTGTATACATAGCGTCACCCTGGCCATGCTACCACTTGCAGATTGAAGGTAAGGAGTAGGTTTGAATTTTTTGTTGTTTTGTTTTATAAATTTTGGAGCATCGTGTTATATATACATATGGGTAGATAAATGGAACCCATTTGAATAAAGGGTTAGGAGATGCAAAAAAGGAACAAGATCTGCTCTGAGCTATTGAGGCATTTTTAACCTAATAGAGAAGGCAATGAACAAACGGCTCAGGACAAAAGCAAGTGTCACGCTGTGCAGATGACAGGACCAAAGCCCCATCAAAAAGCATCCCATGGTACAAACATCAAGGAGCCAGGGTTGGGCAGACCTGCTTCCAGTCCCATTAGTACTTAATTAGTACTTAATTAGCACTTAACGGTCACTGAAGCTTACTGATCTTCAGCTAACCAATCAGTAAAAAATGAGACTAATATCTAAGTTATGAAGCCTCTTGTGAAAACGAAGTGTGAGAACCTGCTAACTTGGCTTTCTCTTGCGATTCTCTAAGCTAATGGAAGGCAGACGCTGTCTCAGTCACTCACTATTTCTCTTTATTGGTTTTCAAGATGTATTGAAATATATACGAATGGGTATCTATAACACAGTAAGAACTACAAAATGACCATCTGTGTTACCAACTCTGATTAAGAAATAGAATATTTACTAATACTCGATATTGCAAATATATATCAATGTATATCCTTCCCCATCTCACCGCCCCCTCCACTCCAGACGAAATCGCTTCTCTGAATTTCATGTTTATTGTCTCCCCTTCCTTCTGATGGTTCCACACACTCAGCCTTCCAGGAGTGGCGCACAATGGCTCTTTCAAATGATTTGCACGTCCTACATCTTGGGATTGCCATTTCCAAACAGTGTGCAGTTAGATTGTTTTCTAAATTCGATCTAAGAATTTGTCCTTACACTGGAGGGTTTAGTTCCTTACATTCATGGAACTTTCTGCTCTGTTTGGATTAATCTTGACCATCATAGCTTGTGCTGTGTGCCCTTCCCTTTTTTCCTATTTCCTGGCTTTGGTACCCATCAATTTCTATTTTCTCATTCTTTTATTTTAATTGATTTCCTAGGAATTTTACTATGTGTACTTCATTATAAAATTCTTACCTTTTACTCTGAAACCTTAGAAGACTTTATTTGTTTTTTCTCCAGGTTTTCCCCATTTGGGGAAACCACCATGGCGACCAGGGGATTCCCCTGCCAGGGAAGTTGGAGAGTTTACTTTTCCTCCCTCCCTCCTTCCCTATTCCCATGCTATTGCTGTTAGGTATTTTACTTATTGTTTTAAATCCTTAATTACATACTGTTACTATTTGTTTTTGTAAACCTTATAAGTTAAATGTTATTATGATTGTTTTACACAGTTGACTGATGATCTTCACATTTTTGTACATATTTATCAATTTGTTTGCTCACTAGTCTCTTTCCTTGTCTTTTTATGTTTTCATCTCAGACTTTTCATTTGGTCTAATTTTTCTACTTCATAAATGCTATGGTTTGAATATTGGTCCCATTAGAAACTGATGTTGAAATATAGTCCCCATTGTGGCATTATTAAGAGGTGGGGCCCTCGTAAGAGATGATTCGATTAATCCATTTATGGCTCGATGGGTTAATAGGTTGATGGATTAGTGTGCTGTCATGGGAGGGGAACTGGTGGCCCCATAAGAAGAGGAGAAGAGGCCGGAGCTAGCAGACCAGCCCCTGCACCCCCCACGCAATGCTCTGGGCCTTGTAAGGATGCTTCACAGTCCCCGCCCATACGAAGGCTCTTGCCACATATGTCCCTCGCCCTTGGACTTCTCAGCCTCCATGACTGTAAGAAGTAAAATTTTTTAAAATATAAATGACCCAGTTTTGGGTATTCCATTATAAGCAACAGAAAACAGACAAAACACCAAAGATCTTTTTATTTGAAAATTACCTATAGTAAGGATCTGTGATGGTTTAGATCATTTTCAAATATACATGGCCATTTGGATAATACATTGGTGTCCTACTCATACGTTTATTCTCTATTTTTTATATTCTGACAGTCCGCATCTGATATTCACTCACACCTCACGTTAACGAAGGTGTTAGTACTTTTCTGAATTTGCTCTTTTGTTCCTTGGAACGTCACCTGTGGCCATTCTCTGCATCCTGCCTTGAGGGTGCATCCCTCCAGAGGGGATGAACATTTGTTCTGTGTTGTGCCTGGGACAGTGGAGGCCTTCTGCTTCTTTAAAATAAATTCTCGGTTCTGGCATTTTGGATGACATGGACGGTGTGAAATCAAATCGCCTATGGCCTGGTTTGAGACCTACTCGTGGTTACGGGTTACGCGGCTGCGTCTGTGTCTGTGTCTACGTCTCCATCTGCCTAGTCTACCTGGCACTGGGAGGGAACCCTCTTTGGAGTTCCAGCAGTCTATGAGGGTCTCCCATGATACTTCCACCATCAGAAACACCTTAGACCTTGCTTCCTGTCCCCTGAGCCATGGGACTCTCAAAGCGGAAGCTCAGTGTCCCGGGAATCCAGACACCCTCAGGAAAAGCCAAGGTCTGGGCTTCATAACCTCTCCGCACGTCACACCTTGTGGGGGACGCTGGCGATTTCTGCTTTTCTTATAGGCTCGGTTACATTCTAAAAAGCTAAAAACAATTTTATTCAGCACCTTTCCTATAGTTCCGGTGGATAAATCTTCACTCAAAAGTGTTTGCTATAAGACTATGCGTTAAGCCCGCCACTCGCAGCGGTTCCTTAACCACTCACGCGATCTCTGACACGTCATCCTTCTCATTACCGCACACGCCGGTACATCACTACCAACGTGTTCGGTGGGGATTTCACTGGGAAGCAGAGTTCTCAGCGGACAGCAAGAGGACAGAGTACTTGGGTTTCGGAGCAGGCTTTTCACTGGGAAGACAGCAGGAAATGTCATCTCAGAATCACGTGAGGGAGACGGTTCTGAATTTGCGCTTTCCTCCCACCAGCTTCCAAGACTGGAAGACGGGGCTGAAATCCAAGCACATGCCCCCCAAGAGAAGACTGGGGGAGCAGAGGATGGACTTGAAGGTGCAAAACTCATAGCTGGAAAGCCATGAGTGTCCCACCCGTACGGCACAGATTTTTATGGTATAGATCAGTAATCGCAGATTCAGCCCCCAGTACCGCCAAGCAGAGGGTCATCTTCCCAGCACCAAAGTGTCCCTCGCACGGAGGTGGTATCTCACTTGCGTTCTTGCATTTACTCCTCGAGTAATGTTTCTGTAGAATCCACCATCTCCCTGTGCTCTGCCCTCACTGAGATTTCTCGGGGCTTCAAAAAAATAATCATAAGCCAATTCTATTATACGTTTAATCTTGCGCACTGGACTGAACGTCACATCCCCAGTGGAAATTTCACCCTTTCCTCAAGCAACTGGTCACAGGTATGATTAAGTATCAATGTCCAAGTGATGATTTCTGCCACAGTTTATGCAGAAGTAAAACGATTTTAAAATATAGAGTTTAAAATAATTACGATTAAAGTGGTGATATTCATAATAAATATAGCAATATGTATATAATAAAATGAATATTACGCAGTATTGTGTTAATTTAACAATAAAAAGTTTAGAAGGCAGGAGATCGTGGATGAGAGTCTCATTATAATTTTTAAAACCATGATATGTTTTTACTATTTCTCCGTCCCAATTTTTTACTCAATATTTATTAAAAGCCGAGATACTTGAAACCCAATAAAGAAGCTTTACACAAAAGCGCACAGATTTGGTGTATG